TACCACAGTACTTTAAAGTAGCTGTAATTAAACCTCTTCTGAAAAAGCCCAAACTTGATCCGGATGTTTTAGCCAACTATAGACCTATATCTAACCTTCCATTTCTCTCTAAGGTTCTGGAGAAAGCAGTTGCTAAACAGCTGTGTGACTTTCTACAGAGCAATAGTTTATTTGAGGATTTTCAGTCAGGATTTAGAGCTCATCATAGCACAGAGACAACACTGGTGAAAATTACTAACGACCTCCTTGCGAGGTCCCTATTGAATTTGCTAAGATTTTATTTTATTTTTTTCTTCTTTTCTGCAAATGTTACGTCCCCAGTTTATCTAGGGGTGGGGGACGAACAAAAGATTAATAACCCGGGTGGAAAAACCAAGGACAACTCAAAACATGTCAAGTAAACGTATTTATTCTTAGAAAAAACAAGGGCAAAACTAAAAGAGATCTCTGCTTACACAAGAGACGATTATAGATGTAAATTATACGAGGTATCTAAATAACACAATGACACAAAGTACCACCAAGCGGACCACAGTTCCCACCGCCACCGCGCTGGGGAAGCACGCATGGAGGACACCCGCCGCTCACCACACCGGCTTCCACTGCCCGGGGACGCCAAGCAGACAGCTGCCTCCACGGAGCCTCTGGCTCTGAGAGCGGAGAGGTCGCAGGTGGCACACCGCCGGTCACGTCCTTCAAACCACACAGAAAAACACACAGTAAGTCGGACAGCACGTTACCCGCTAATGTGAATAACAACCGATAGATGAGGGATTGGATGAGCCGATGACGAGCGAGGAGTGAGGCGACCACCACACACCCCCGAGCACTCCACTGGCCCGACTTACATAGCCTCCTAAGTGGCCTTGATCGGCACCAGCTGTGAGCTCCACCCAGCGTCACTCAGCAGGCACGCGTACACACCTGTGGGGGAGAGACAGACACACCCACAGCAACAACACCTAGAGCACCAGCACGGGTCGTAACACCCCCACCCATAAGAACAAACCTATTAGGGTTTGTATACCACTGTAAGTTTCTCTTTTACAAGAAAAAACACGGCCCTATCATAGGACCCGGTGATTAGCAGCAAGCTCACCCACGGGACAGGGCGTCAGCCGGGATGTTGTCCGCTCCCCTCTTATGTTTGATGTGGAGGTTGTAGCCTTGAGCCAGGAGGGCCCAGCGCATCAAACGCTGGTTACTATTGTACATGCGAGTTAGGAAGACAAGAGGGTTATGATCTGTGTAAACTGTGACAGGTAAGGAACTTCAACCCACATACAATTCAAGTGTTGTAGAGCCAGGAGCATGGCCAATGTCTCCTTCTTGTAGAATAGTTCAACTGGTGTTTCTTGAACTTAGCTGAGAAATAACACACAGGTTTACACACACGTCTCCATCCCCCCCTTGCAGCAGCACCGCCCCTGTCCCAGTGGAACTAGCATCTACATCTCTTTAGGCCAGCACAAAGCTTCCGCAACGCGCTCAAATGCACCAAAGTATGCCTCGACTACAGCCTCGTGGAAAACAGGAACCAGGGCAATATATTTGCCCACATCATGGCCACCAGCAGATTGTGAAGACAACCCACTGGCAGGGGTAACGGGGCGAGCGGCGTCAACATTAACCTGTAACTCCAGCTGTCTCATTTTAAATGTTGTCTCTGCCTCTAGCCTCTTTAGCTCCCTGCTGCCAGCCTCTTTAGGTCCAGCTCCCGGCGTAGTTGGAAATCTCTCTCCCTCTCTTCCCTCTCTATCTGAAGCCGCAACAAACGAACTTTCAGCCGGCCATCCTACTTAGAGCCAGGGGATGACTCGACTGAGAATGGTACAAATTGAGGCATAGTTACCGGCTTCTCTGGTGGTAACCCTTGTCGACCAGCGGGGGTCCCATCGCCAACCTGGTCCCCCCCCACACTCAGCTCTCGGTCAGGACGGCGTGCTGTTTCTGGTAAGGTGATGACCCCCTTACTAAGTCCATCCAGAACCAAAGCTTTTAGCTCAGCCTTCATTAGGGAAGTGGACACAGCAATGTCATAATGGTTGGCAATGGCATGGATCTCAGTTTTCTTGCATCTATCCAACTGAATTAAATCTGGACTAGACACAAATGTGCTTAACTCAAAGGCTGCCATGGCCACAACACGTAAAGATACACACAATATGCTGGATAAGATAATGTTAATGCTTGATGTTGACCCTCTAACAGGCAGACAGCCCCCCCCCCCCCCCCCCCAGAACAAACTTCCTCAGCACCTGCCTCGCCAAACTTCGTACTTTAACGAACTCCTCCTAGGGATTTAGTCCGACCGACTTCAAATTTCTGCTGTGCCTTCTAAAGTCATTGAAAATGAAACGTTGTGCTATTTGCGAGTTTTCGTCAATGGGCGTGTCCGTGGCGTGGCGTCAAAGATCAACTCTTCGCCATGACACAGGAAGTTGTTGTAACTTCAGTGTACATGCTCACATCTGAACCAAACTTTACGTGCTTGATAACTCTCCCACCCCGCTATGGAGGACCGATCCTGACACAGTAAGAAATAAATACAGAAATAAATAAATGCTCAATAAATAAATAAGCTTCCAATTAAATACACAAAAAAATTAAGTAAATAAATAAATGTAGGTAGTAATTAAATTATACAAGGAGACAAATGTATATATTTTAATTAGTGCCTTTACTTATTCACCTTTGTTATAATTACCTTATTTATTTATTCTCCGTTATAATCTTCAACTGTATTTATTACTAATTTTTTTAAATGTATTTATTTATGTGTGTGTTTTAATATTTTTGTCTGTTTTATTCTTCCTTTGTATTTATTTACCTTATTTATTTTCTTTCTCTTTTATTTCTTCCTGTCCTTTTTAAATTTCTGTATGCATTTCTGCCTCATTATGCAAATGAGGAGGGGCTGTGTCTCAAGGGGTCATCTTCTCTGCTATTGGTGGACCAGTCAGACAGGAGAGCTCCTACTCTGCCTGCAGACATCAACGATCTTGCCCCTCACACAGTCAGATGGCTTCCTTCAGTGCGCTGAGGTGTTTAACAACTCTGAAGACAATACTACCAGCAATGTCTTCCTTCTCTTTTCACGTAGACGCTCCGACAGACAGTGCTTTCAGTTTGCTGCATGCATGGACACAGAACTGCGGTATAGGGAGAAGCACACGGTCAGCTGGCTGCAGCTAAATCTGGAGTGCACTCGTATTCAATTCTGTATGGTAAATTCAGTTTTAACGGAGCAGAGCGAGCTGACAGGCAGAGTTAGAGACTTTTTCTGTCCGTTTCTCTCTTTACAAAGACTCATGTTGCAGTCAGAGTCTTCTCTGAGATGCGAGCACCACATACAACACAATTTATCAAATTACACAACGGATATACAGTATGAAAATAAGATTGATTGGATTATACTCACAGGAAGTATAAAACCTGTTACATGCGTAACACAGTAATGTCAGGGAAATTACTTTACTTAGATTTAAGTACTGCAGTTGTACATTTGAAATACCTTCCTACCTTTCTGATAGGAAGCCTTCTTGAGGTGGTATAAAACATTTCTTCTTATATTCTGATTTGAGTTGTGGACAACTATGACCACATGAATTAAAAAAACATTTCACTGCCCAAGTCAGCTATAACACAAGTCTTGATCATCAGACTACATGCTGTACAGTATTTGTGGACAGATTTTGTCCCAGGATTTCTTATGCATTTCTTCTTCTTCGTTGCATGGTTTAGAATAATAAGGTGAGAAATGGGTCTATTCTGAGTTCATCCTGCACTGCAGCAGCTAATAAAGTCCATTTCATCCCAAAAACGCTTTTCTTTTAGGCAGGCTGGAGCAGAAAACAACTCACCTTTCTCAAGTTGTACAGTAATGTCACATGTGTATGAAGGTGGATCAAACAAGCTAATCTTAAATGTCAAAGTAGAGAGGAGCCTAGTAGGCCTATTTATTTTCATTCATTACACAATATGAATAAGCTATGCAGACAGTTGTAAAGAAAGAACATCTTTTTCTTCTGTTCTCTACTTGTTATAGTTACACAGTATTAGGGGTGTGGGCTGTATTAAAAGTATCCACTGTTCTCCCATGCTCTAACACACAGTAACGATGAAATGTGTGCTGTTCTCACATTCTTCCTCTGTATGTACACATAAACAACAAGGCAGGGAAATATAAAAGGAATTTATTTTATTGTTTGGGTACATTATTGTTCAGTGTACATGCTAACATCTGAAACAAACTTTACGTGCTTGATAACTCTCCGACCCCGCAGACATCTACACGCCAATACAGATTTATATTCATAGCGGCAAGTGCTATGTAGCTCCACATAGGGGACACAGGAAGTGACATATAGCACCTTCATGCGGCGTCGGAACCGGTACAAGAACGAGGGCCCGCCCAACGCTGCTTGCAGCTTTAATTTACTCCTGCATCCTTTGCATTCTGATCACTGCACTATTTATCAATATGTCTATATTGTTTTGTTCATAGTGTGTATATTAGTGTTGTCTATACTGTAGTTTGTGCCTGATTTTATTTTATTATTATGTTTTGGTATTATTTTATGAGTAAGCACATCGTGAGCAATGTACAATCCTGAGTCAAATTCCTCCTATGTGTACACATACCTGGCAAATAAAGCTGATTCTGATTCTAGTGCTGCTCTTGGTGGGAACTGTTGGGTTTCTGTAAACATCACAGAATACGGTCTAGACCTGCTCTTTTATGAAAAGCGCTCAGAGATAACTGCTGTGATTTGGCGCTAAATAATTAAAATTGAATTGAATTGTGTCAACCAAATAAAACAATAATTTTGAACCTGACTTAATCCAGTCTTCAAATTTCACTTCTCGAAATATATGTAAATTAGACTGTCCCTCACTTGCATATATAAACATAATATTTCAGAAAACCTTAGATACAAAGAAATATTGTCTTAATGTAAGTTTTATATAATATAGATATATAATCATTTGCTTTACTCTATTCACCTGCAGTGTCTTGCTGTAAGATGTTTTATCACACAAATATTTAGTAGATCAGATTCCACTTTATTGTCATCACACACGGTCAGCAGCAGAACAAAGAAACACAGTTCAGCATCTAAGCAGACAGCAGATATATAAAGAGAAACTAACACAGAGAATGAAAAGTGACAGGATGAAATAAAGAAGAGACTTTCTGTCTTAGTGAGCCAACTGGGATTAATGGTGCTTGGAAGAACCTGAAGACACCTGCACCTTGATGACAGGTGTGCAACTGTCGGACATGGTGACTGCGATATTAACATCTTCACCTCTGTAAGTCAGACTGTCTTTAGCTTCAGCTCTGACAAACCCTTTCTCTGTGTTGTAATACATCTCGTGAAAAAGGCTCTTATCACACTTTGTATTAATGTCATAGACTCCCACTCCGTACCAGTTACGGTACCAGAAGTAGTCATAAGGAATGGAGAACATGACGGCCATTTTTCCATCACATTTCTTTGATTCATTCTGCAGATCATAAGTGAGGACTCCAACAGCTCCACGTGCTCCGTGAGGAGTCTTGACGAACAGAGCGCTGCAAGATTCAGAGGGACCAAGAGTTGGTGGCAAAGGCTTCTCATAGATTCCACTGAAAGTGAACACCCTGAGGAGACAGACAGTATGTCAGAAACATCAGTTTCATTTCACAGCATCCAGAACAGGCATCGGTCCAGGCTGTATTTAACACTACAACAGGGGGAAACTATTAGTTTAGCTCTATGAAAAGAGAAGCATGCAGCTGGTAGCAGCTGATCTCAGTCCTCTTATAGAAACATTAAACAACAGACACTCAGAGAAACTACAGCAGACTCACTGCGGGTTACAGAAGGTGTACTCAGAGCACTTATTCTCAATCTCAACGGTGCACTGACGGGTTGCCATGATGTGTTGAACCTGCAGAGGGAGACAGAGCAGCAGACAGACTGTTCAGACTTCATGGGAGTAAAGTGAAATGCCTGTAGTGACTCTAACAGCGTCTCTGTTCTGTCAGACGCACCCTGAAGGCAACACTGGACAGGATGTGTCTGATCTTTCTGTCCTTCTGCTCGGACAGATGCTGACTGAACCAGCTGCAGCCTTTCACTTCATGTTTCCATGAGTCCAGGACTGCAGCCTGCTCATGGTGGACTGCACCAGTCAGGCTGGCTGCTGAGTTACTTAGTTTGTTAGTTTGTTAGTTACTTAGTTTGTTACTTAGTTAGTTAGTTTGTTACTTACTTAGTTACTTAGTTAGTTACTTAGTAACTTGGGAAGCACCTATAAAAGAAAATACTAAAGTAAAGAAAAATGACCAATTACCAATATTTAAAAATAATCAAAGTACAAGTACACACAAAATAACTCTGTTACAATAACCAGAGTAAATGTCATTTGTTTGAATCTCTCAGCTTCAGAACACAAGTCTGTAGTTTCCAGTGAGGAGGACGTCCTACCTGCTGTGGAGCCTCAGAGTCTCTTGTTGATCCGACTGAGACCAGGACCGAGCTGTGAAGTGACCCTGATGCTGTCTGCTGGCTGATATTTATACTTGTCTAAAGTGAAAGAGAAACTACAGAGATCACACATTTCCCAGAAACAGAGGAGCTTTTCCATCAGAAGGAGACACTTACAGCTTGTATGGGTAGGGGAGGAGGGGAGAGATTTCGGCTTAACAATCCTTTTAATGAACTTTAAGAACCAGGACAGAAATCAACTCACTTCACATCATCACAACAAAAACAAACCTGTCAGCCAAACACAGAAACATGATTCTCTGATCATATCACCCCGGCACATAAAACCCTCCTAACAGCTTACATGTGACTGAATTCCTGCATATTGTCCATTATCCCATAATAAGCTCCACAGGCAACCCTCCAGGGCTGGCACCGGCTCCACACAGCCGGCACTCTGGGCTAGGGATGTAATAATTACGATGTTATTGGTACGATTATTGTCAGAGGAATAATCACAGTTTCAAGATTATTATGCATTAATTAATTTCACAAAACTAGTAATGACTGAAGTTGATTTTTAATATTTAATTACATTAACAATTATATTTGTATAATATGTAAGTGTTATTAATATAAGAGGAATATTGACTTAATTTATCCCCCTGGGGAAATTGTTATTAGGGATTGGAAGAAACTGAACAGTTATTGTCAAGTTTTAGTGAAAATGAAGAGAAGAACATCTCTCATGCAGTGTTATTAATAACTGAAATGCAGTTCATTGGTGTAGTCCTGGAAGTCTACAAGCCCTCATAGCGCAGCGGGGCTGTCGTTGCGGTGGGTCTGAAATTTTACACTTGCCTTGTTCATTTACGCCTGCACCGAAAGCTCGACTCTCACCGCTACGGCATAGATTGTAAGTGACACGTTTATATTTAATTTCCCTAGCAACTTGCCACGCTATTTAACTCAGTTATTAGGCTATGTATTAACTTTACTTGGGCGTGCAAAGCTGGGCGATGATCCCGCAGGTGCTGCATCAAGTTTGATGTAGTTATTCGCTCCTTTAGCAGGAACCTTTAACGGCAACTTTTTGAGCAGGTGATCCGTCATCTTCAGTAACGCCCTGGGGTCTCATTTATAAATGGCGTGTATGTTGAAAACAGGGCTGGAAACGTGCGGACGCCACTTCCCACGCAAAGGTTCTATAAAAGACATACTTGACGGGAGAATGTGCGACTCAGAAGGATGAAACGGTTTGAAATGAATAGCCTAGGCCTACTATTGTGTGAAATAAATCGAAATATTACCTCGGAGTAGGCTTAAAGAATGGTATTTTCCCTGAAGTGCGCAAAAAACACATAAATTATGATCATTTATTAATTATTCTTGCATGCAGTGCAATTTATTCTCAACAGGAGACAAATTACATTTGATGCCGTTTTCAATGCGTCAGTCGAGCAAACACCAGCACATGTATAATTTCATGTAGCCTATTTTTATCACGTGTCCGACCTGAGGAATGTTGAAACGTTTTAACTTAAAAAAGAGAAAGCTGAGTGGATCGCTGGTGTGTGTGTGTCGCATTGAACTTTATGTCGCGGCAGTTGTGTGTGGCGTCGCTATGACGACCAGCTACGTACTATCTCTGGCTACTACCTGCAATGGAAAACGGAGCCTTGATGTAGGCTACCCGAAATGCTCCCACACTGCTGATTCTGCCGTTTCCTTGGTGGAACTAAAGCTTCACAGTCTGGTCCCTCTGCCAGAGTTTAGCCAGTGTGCAGTAGCCTCTGATAAGCACGACACTTTAAACAGGTGCACCGCTCCTGTAAATTTGTTTTCGTATTGGCAAGACAAGTTGCAACAGTTTCGTTTCATGCAACAGAAACAGTCGGTGTAGCGGAGCCTTCACGACATTTTAAAGCGCAGTTAATAGTGAAATCCGATAATCGCTGCATCCCTGCTCTGGGCGCAGTTCCTACGCTTTAGCCCGATGGCAGCCTTGGCAGAACCAGATAAAAACTTCACCAGCGTAGGTACAGACTTTTTCTTAGCACTGTATTTCAGGCCAAAAATAAACAAAGACCCTGAAAACACCATTTTAGAAGTTTGACCAGTACTACCAGTCGAGGACACACATTTTTAAAAAGCCTTTGAGACCTCAGACTTTACCAGCTTAACTCCTAGACCCTCTGATGTGGCCTTTTGGTCTTTAAAGTATCTTACTAATAATCTAACTTTGACTTGGATTTCAGATTTTGTAAACTAGTCACTGACCTCTTAACTGCTCAAAGGAGATGAATGCATTGGTTTTGCATGACTTGGCTACATTTAAAGAATTTGATGAGATTAATGTAATGGGAATTCCAAACATACTGCATGTAACCCTGGACTCAGGGAGACTCATCTGTGCTGTGGAAACGTAACAGTCCAAATATCTCTGTTCTCTGTGGTATCCAGACTTCAGGGAGAATGTGTCTCTGTGGGATGATAAGATTGACCCTAAAGCTGGATAAATAACAGGCTCACGGAGCTCTCCTCACTCATTCGAGCATACATGTACACGGCGTATGTGTTTTGCTGTGAGTCCTTCTGCAGAAGACTTGAATGAAATTCACAGAAATACGAGTGTTTGCCTGAGCTGTTTATTTAAACACACTTTTCCCACCACATTTTGGCGTTGTCGGCTCGTCACACGCGTGAGAGGACTCTGACGCTCGGAGCCGCAGGTGAAAAACCATACGGCTGGAGTCTGAGACTCTGGACTTCGAACCTCCCCTCCAAAATCCGGGTGAGACGTTGAGAGCCTGACGCCTGAGTGTCTGAGGCAACGATTCTCGCTGCCTCTCAGGGTGAGCGTGACAGACGTATCAGCAGGTCGGGCCCCGGGGCCGCTGTGTGAATCGGCAAAGCTTTGTGTTAAAGGTACTATATTCAAGAAATCAGTGGGGGGTAGTGGATTTCTTATAAGTCTGGGACCCACAGTAAAGTAGGGGTGTATGAATCAGAGGACTCCAATAAGATTGAATTTTATTTTTTTTTTATTATTATTTCAGTTAGGGTTGCTACTTAACAAGTAATTATACAGACTTGTTGAATGTGTTTACTACAGATGCATGACTGAATTGCGAGCCTTTTGTGAATGAATTGCGTCTGAGAAAAACAAACTAACAGACCGTGTGAATGTTGAACAAAGGATTTCCTCAGACTACCTGCTTTGTTAACATTTAATAGAAACACGTAAGAATTTAGAGATAATATAGATCTGTGAACGATCTTTTCCAGGCACCCGGCTTCAAGGTCCTCATAACACAAGACTTAAACAAACCTCCCAAATTTCAAACAAAAGAGGCACCTAATTGATGTCTATGAAGATTCTCAGTCATCCAGGTCATAGTTATCCAACAAAGGTTAAAATCAAGGGCAACTGGACTTGGTTGAAGATGCTGGAAGACGTTTCGTCCCTCATCCAAAGGACTTCTTCAGTTCTGACTGACTGGCAGGGAAACTCAGCTATTTACCTCAGTGGGGTTGTTACAGCCTGTGGAGACCCTAAATGGACCTTTGTGAAAACAGCCACAAGATCCAAGAAGAACAAAACTACAGGGGAGGAAAAGAAGGTCAAACGCAACAACATTGTGATTCCATACGTGTCTGGAGAATCAGAGAAACTCAGGAGGATTTTCAACAAACACAACATCCCTGTGTTTTTTAAACCCAAGAACACACTAAGACAGATGCTGGTCCACCCCAAAGACCGCATACCCAAACACAAGAAAAGCAATCTAGTGTATGCGGTCCAATGCAGTGAGGAATGCAAAGACCTGTATATTGGGGAGACTAAACAACCACGACACAAACGCATGGCTCAACACAGAAGGGCCAACTCCTCAGGTCAAGACTCTGCAGTCTACTTACATCTGAAGGACAGAGGACACCCGTTTGAGGACCACCAGGTGCACATTTTAGACAGAGAAGATGGATGGTTTGAAAGAGGTGTCAAGCAAGCATCTACACCAGGGTGGAGAAGCCATCATTGAACAGGGGAGGGGGTCTACGCCACCACTTATCCCCCACTTACAATGCTGTCCTTTCATCACTTTCCAGGAAACTCAACAAACGTAACCTATTGGCCTCAGGTGAAGATACCAACGATGGTCGTTCAGTCTCGGCCACAGGTAGTCTTAACGACCGTAACAACTGTTGTCACAGCAACAAGGAACACTAACGAACCAGCGGTATCAATGACCCGGGCCAACGACCCCACTGAGGTTAAATAGCTGAGTTTCCCTGCCAGTCAGTCAGAACTGAAGAAGTCCTTTGGATGAGGGACGAAACGTCTTCCAGTATCTTCAACCAAGTCCAGTTGCCCTTGATTTATAACCTTCGTTGAGTGCATGCTGAAAGAACTCAGTTCCACATTATTAACACCAGTAACCTCTCTCCAAATCTCTCCATTATTGAGGCAGTATTTCCAAGTGTGTGGAAGTCAGCTGCTGTTGTTCCCAGTTTCAAAAATGGAGATCCATTGTCAATAGACAATTAATAAAATGGATAGAATCATATCTATCGAATCGCTCACAGTCAGTCAGGATCAGTGATTACCACTCACCGCCCCTTGCCATGTCCACATGGTTACCTCAAGGTTCTATTTTGGGGCCTCTGCTATTTTCACTTTATATAAACAACATCTCTTCAGTTTGTCCAAAACGTCTATATTCAGATGTACGCAGACGATACAGTCATTTATACCCATATCTCTGAATGGCTAAATCAATCCTGCTTAAAACCTAATGTAAAAAAAAAAGGCAGATATTTATGTGACATAAAACATAAAAGTTGACTAGACTGAGTTGCCTAGGTATTCAAATACCTGTATAGTGACTGGCGCTGTTTTCTTGGGTTTTTCATTTAACATCGCCCGCCATAGGGGCTACAGCACTGCAACAACAAGTCTAGTTCCCCTTCGAGGGAACTCGAACTGCGTCGGTTACGACACTATGGGAACGCCTCTAGGCGAAGCAGGTCTGAACGTGAATGAAATCACTCCAATCCTATTGGCTTGTTGCTAGAACGGTAAGGTGTGATGGAATAACCGGAGGAGTATAAAGCACACCTGTACACACTCATCATTAGCTTTTTTCTATTCAGCAGGCACTCTGTATGTTGTTTGAAGAAGCTCCAGTCCTACAAGCAGTGAATGTCTTACCTGAGGAAGAAGTCTACCAGCATGTCCGGCAATCAGAGGTACAGAAGGTGTGTTTTTCCTTGCCCTCGGTACATCACGGATGGAGATTCTCATAAGATGTGTGTCTCATGTTTGGGGATGGAGCACGCCCGGGCAGCTCTCGAGGGGGCTGCCTGCGGCCATTGCAAAGCCCTTTCTTGGCTCTCTTTTCCGAGGATGGCCGGATGTGTTCTCCCCGTGATGTGGGCCCGGCGGCCGCTTCACTCATGGGGTTCACTGCGTGATCTGTCGGAGGATTTCGGGACGGCTGAGGCTTTTTCCCGACCTTCGTCCGCTGGCTCCGACGCTTCCTTCCCTCGTTTCTTGGCTTCTCCCACTCGCGGTTTGGATCCGGAGACGCTGCAGCAATCCGACTTCGAGGAGGTGGACGTGCTCGGCGTAATGGACGATGACTTCCGGGTGTTGGGGCAACGTCATCAGGCTGCGCCCGACTATGACGAGCTGCTGGAGGTGGTGACTAGAGCCGTGGCTAAGCTCAACATCAACTGGCCACAGGAGGAGCAGACACCACAGGCTAGTGGTAAGCTTGATGAAAGGTTTCTTAAGCACCACGCACCACCTCCACGCCGATCTCTGCCATTTTTTCCTGATTTACATGATGAACTGAGTAAATCATGGGGCAGACCCTTCTCTACACGGCTTTCCACACCCCGATCACTGAACTACAGCAATGTGATGGGGGTTAGGGACCGTGGTTATGGGAGGATGCCTCGGGTAGAGGATGCGCTTGCGAGCTATCTCTCCCCCCGACTTGCGTCCTCCCTGGAGGAGCCGGCGTTACCATCCAAACCATGTCGCACCACATCCACGCTCGTGGGGAAGGCGTACATGGCAGCGGGCCAGGCAGGTGCGAGCTTGCACACCATGGCGGTGCTTCAAGCCTACCAAGCCGACCTGCTTCAGGAGATGGTTCAGAGGGGTCCCTCTGAGGAAGATCTGGCGGAACTTCGCAGAACCACGGACCTGTCTCTCCGGGCCACCAAGGAAACGGCCCGCTCTATTGGTCGATCCATGTCGGTTCTGGTGGCCACGGAGCGTCACCTATGGCTCAACCTTGCGGGCATATCAGAGAGGGATAAGAGCTGCCTCCTTGATGCACCGGTGAGCACGGCGGGCCTCTTCGGTGACGCGGTGGACTCGGTGGTGGATCGGTTCCAGCACGTTAAGACGCAAGGCGAAGCGTTCCGCCAGTACCTCCCTCGCCGGTCTGCACCCAAGGCAGCTGAGGCTGCCGGGCGTAGGTCCCTTCCCTCTACGAGCTCCTACCGAGAGGAGAGGAAGCAGAGTGTCGCTCCGAGGGGCTGGTTCCGTTGGCAGACTTTGCAGAGGCTTGGCGGAGCCTGACGAACATTTCTCCGTGGGTCCTGCGCACTGCCATAGATGGGTATCGACTACAGTTCAAAACCCGCCCTCCAAAATTCAACGGGGTGGTTTGGACTGTGGTCCGCCCGGAGCAAGGTCCGGTGTTGGGACAAGAAGTTCGTACTCTGCTGAGGAAAGGGGCCGTGGAACGTGTCTCCCCCCCAGACAGAGACGCCGGCTTCTACAGTCGGTACTTCATAGTCCCCAAGAAGGACGGAGGGCTGCGCCCTATTTTGGATCTGCGGGTTCTAAACCGGTCTCTGAGGAGATTCAGGTTCAAGATGCTCACCATCCCCGCCATCGTGTCGCACATCCAATCCGAGGATTGGTTCGTCACGATAGATCTACAGGACGCCTTTTTCCACGTCTCCATCCGTCCTTCTCACAGGAAGTTCCTGAGGTTCGCCTTCGGGGGTGTGGCTTACCAGTATCGGGTTCTTCCATTTGGCCTGGCACTTTCCCCTCGCACATTCACCAAGTGTATGGATGCAGCACTGGCCCAGCTGAGGCTCCAGGGCATCTGGATTCTCAACTACATCGACGACTGGCTCATCCTGTCTCGAGAGTTGGCGGTTCGGCATCGAGATGTCGTTCTGGCTCATCTGCGGCGTTTAGGGCTGAGGCTCAACACAAATAAGAGCGTGCTGGTGCCCACCCAACGGACTACGTTCCTAGGGGTTGTATGGGATTCGACAACGATGCGGGCACAATTGTCTCCGGCACGTGTCGACACCATATTGGCTGCCGTGAGAGGGGTGAAGTTAGGCCACGCCATCACTATGAAACACTTTCAACGAGTGTTGGGTCTCCTGGCGGCTGCGTCCAGCGTAATACCATCTGGACTACTGCACATGAGACCCCTGCAGTGGTGGCTAAGGAACAAGGGTTTTTCCCCGAGGGGAAATCCTCTCCGTCTGATTTGGGTTATGCGCAAGTGTCTTCGTTCCCTATCAGTTTGGAAGGAAACTTGGTTCCTGTCCCAGGGGCCCGTGCTGGGAGGGTCTTGTCGCCGGCTGGTTATTTCGACAGACGCCTCCCTCACGGGCTGGGGCGCGGTCATGGACGGCCGCTTTGCAAGGGGATCCTGGCAGGTGCATCAATCCGAGTGGCATATCAACTGTCTCGAGATGTAGGCGGTGTTCCAGGCCACCACGTCCTGGTTCGTTCCGACAACACAGCGGTGGTGGCCTATCTGAATAACCAGGGTAGTCTGCGCTCGCGCCCTCTGGACAGACTGGCGTGTCAGATCCTCCTGTGGTCCCAGCAGAGGTTACTATCGCTCAGGGCGATGTATCTCCCGGGGACGCAGAATCAGGGAGCAGACCTGCTGTCGAGGCAGGGGCTGAGGCCCGGGGAATGGAGACTTCACCCCGAAGTGGTGTAGCTCTTGTGCGAAGAGTTCGGCCCCATAGACGTGGATCTGTTTGCGTCTCAAGAGACTACGCACTGCCCGCTATGGTTTTCTCTCGTTCCTCCAGCCCCGTTGGGTCTGGACGCCATGGTACATTCGTGGCCGAGGGTACGTCTGTACGCTTTTCCCCCCAGTCGCTCTGCTCCTGGGGGTTCTGGAGCGGGTCCGCCAGGACAATGTCGGCCTACTGCTCGTAGCCCCGTTCTGGCCAACCTGGGTGTGGTTCTCGGACATCATGTCACTCCTGGACGGCCCGCCGTGGCGGGTCCCTCTGAGGAGAGACCTGCTGTCCCAGGCGCAGGGCCGGGTTCTTCACCCTTGCCCCGCCATATGGCGACTGTGGGTCTGGCCCCTGAGGGGGCACAGTACCTAGAGGCGGGTCTAACAGCCGGAGCAGTCGAGACCCTCCTGAGCTCCAGGGCCCCGTCCACACGGAGTATGTACGGCCTGAAGTGGAGTGTTTTCTCCACTTGGTGTAGGGAGCGGTCGGTGGACCCTGTTACCTGCCCGGTGGTTCAGGTACTTGAGTTCCTCCAGGACCGGTTCTCTGCTGGTCTTTCCCCTTCCACCGTCCCTCTGAGGGAGGGGTCCTTGGGGAAACTTCCCTTGGTTGTACGTTTCCTCCGTGGTGCCCGGAGGATGAGACCTGCGACTCGGTCCAAGGTTCCCACTTGGGATCTGGCGGTGGTTCTTGGGGCGTTGGCTGAGGCCCCCTTCGAACCCCTAGAGTCAGCTGAGGCTAAGCACTTGACCCTCAAGATGGCCTTTCTCCTTGCTATCACCTCTCTGAGGAGGGTGGGGGATCTCCAAGCACTTTCGGTTTCCCCGCAAAGCCTGGAGTTTGCCCCGGGGAATATTAGGGCTATCCTGCACCCTCGTCCAGGATACATCCCTAAAGTGCCTTCTTGTGTGGCAGGGTCCACAGTGCTGCAGGCATTTCATCCTCCACCTCATGTGACGGCGGAGGACGGGAGACTTCATCTGCTCTGCTCTGTCAGAGCACTGTGTATTTACACTCTGAGGTCCTCCCGTTGGTGGAAGGCTGACCAGCTGCTAGTGTGTTTTGGGTCTCCCAGGGCCGGGCTCCCTGCATCCAAACATACTATTAGCAACTGGATTGTTCAGACTATTTCCCTGGCCTATCAGGTGCGCGATTTGTCTTCACCTGTGGCTGTGAGGGCTCATTCTACCAGAGGCATGGCGGCCTCTCGAGCCCTCCTTTCCGGGGCCTCTTTGCAGGATGTTTGTTTAGCGGCTGGCTGGGCCACTCCGCACACATTCATTCGGTTTTACAGTCTTGACCTTCCTTCGGCACCTGGCACTCGTGCGCTCTTCCTCTTAGTCGTGCCACTTTATTGCACACAGGGGCAGGCGGGGTTTTCGGCACGGTTTAGTGGGTATCTCGTTCCCATAGTGTCGTAACCGACGCAGTTCGAGTTCCCTCGAAGGGGAACGTCTCGGGTTACGTATGTAACCCTGGTTCCCCGAGAAGGGGAACGAGACACTGCGTCGGCCCGCCGCACCTCTCTCCCCGCCTGAAGCGCCTGCTTCATAGTTTAAGCTAATGATGAGTGTGTACAGGTGTGCTTTATACTCCTCCGGTTATTCCGTCACACCTTACCGTTCTAGCAACAAGCCAATAGGATTGGAGTGATTTCATTCACGTTCAGACCTGCTTCGCCTAGAGGCGTTCCCAATGGATTCAACTGAGTTTCTGAGAGTTTCTCCACAGCACGTATTCACTAGTAATGTAACGATTGCGCTTTCAGCCGTAAGAGTTGTAGCAGTAGCTTGTCGGTGCTTTGTCCGGTCACCAGCCCCATCAAATAAAACTCATGGTTTCAAAAGGAAACTGTCATAGGAATGACAATTGCCGGCAAAAAACATTATATTCTAACCAGAAACATTTAAGAAAATGTAAATTACAAAGCATCTTTTGTATTTCATAGAAATAGAAGCTCCCGTTGCGCTATGCCTCACGGGATGTCTGAGGGACGGCCTTTATCGCTGATAGGCTAAGGTCCTCAAATTCCACTTGAAGCCATGAGAAACTTACTCACTCTTGTGTTTTGCTGGCAACATCTTGATAATTAGCTAGTAAACAAAATAGTTCAGATGTGATTCATAAAAAACAGAAGTTTAAATGGACTGATGATAAAATGGAGTTTGCATTCTCTATCTGCGACAGCTGTGCGTAACTCTGGGCCAAAG